TTTTTTTTTTTTTTTTTTTTTTTTTTTTTTTGAAAAGATAAAGTAACTTCTTGTAACCACAAATAGCCTACTAAATTAAAGAAAAAAAAGCTTTGAAAAATCATAATTTCTACATTATATTTAAATTTAAAGTACATTTTTCATATTAAAGGGTAAAATTTATTCGATTATTTAATTAGTACCTTAGGAGATGCCACATACACACATATGCATTAGCGTCTAAAGTAAAACAAAAAAAAAAAAAATTAGAAATATTCATAAGAGCCAATAATATGATCAATTCAAATTATTCCGTCCAAACCATAAAGGTTTAGTTGGATTAGTTGAATTTTTGAACGATGGAGAATTTCGTTCGGTTTGCAGGTTGACTTTTTTTAGTCGGGTTGAAATAGGGTTACAATCCAACCCAACTCTACTTTTAAAAAAAGTAAGAATATTTAACATTTATAACCGATGCTAGTGATGAGTTGTGACTTTTAAATTTTCGGTATTTGAATTTTATAAAATTTTAATTATTAATAACCATTTAAAAATAATAATAATAATAATACTGAACTCAAGAAAAAAAAAAGGAAAAAAAGAAAAAACCCATTATTAATTAGTCTCCCTTTAATTTAAACTTTATTTATATTTTTCAATTATCACTTTATTTATAGAGTACAAATTCTTTAATCACATGCCTTTTTCAAAAGTATTTTTTTTTTTAATTTTATATTTTGTGAAACCACTTTTGAAAGAAAAACTAATTAAATGGTTCATATTAGACCACTTTCAATAATTTTATGACATTATTCAAAAATTAAAAAGGTAACTCATTATAAGCATTTTAAATGGTGGTTTTGATTAATGAGACTGATTGAACGAAGTAAAGTAAACTCCTGCTGAACCTTTGACTCTATTCTCGTCAGTGATTGTTCTTTATTATCAGTTCTTATTCCCCATTCTTTCTCTTCTCCTTCACCTTTATTCTCGTCAGTGATTATGAACAGTCAGCCAATCTTCACTCTCAATTCATGAGACAGATTGAACAGTAAGTAAAGTAAGTTATGTTCGGGTTGATTATTGTATACTTAATTATATACTAAAAAAAAGTTGTTTTACGTTACGCTTTTTCTAGGGATGTATGCGGGCTAAGCTCAAAAAAAATCTTTTAAACTCACTTGAAATTTTGGATTGATTGGATGAGAGACCCGAAAAATTTAAATAAAGTTCATAACTCAATTCAACATAATCCTATATTTTTGGGTTGGATTGTCGATGTTAGGTTGTAAAGTCTGATGCTTATTTATGAATTAGGTTTACGTAAGACTTGAAGAAAACTTAATACTGAAGTAATTGGAGAAATCTTATATATTCTCGTACTTAGTTTTTAAGATAAAATCTTATTTATTCTCCTATTTAATTTTTCATAATCTAAACCCTAGAGTTGTCGGTGTCTCCACAATATTTTTCTTTATATCTTCTCTCAGCTGTTCTTCATGTTCTTTATCAAAATCGCATGTCTGAGTTTAAGGTTATACATGTATTAGTAATAAATAAATCATCATAAAGTTCAAATATAAAACATTTACAAGTCACAACAGACGATCACATATGTTAAGTATTCTTAGTTTTTATAAAAGCACGGTAAGGTTGGGTTGAGCTAGATTATAATCCTATTTTTGGGTTAGTTGAGTTGAACCAACCAAAAAAAATGTCAGCTTGTGAACTGAATCAAAATTTTAGTTTCTTTTTTTAAAATTTAACCCAATTGGGTCATATGAACCCTCATATTTTCTTAAAAACCCAACCTTATTGATCGAGTATACGTTGGACTCAGAGCGACGTGTATGATCGAGCAAAGGGTTGAGGTATTTGGTATTAGGGTTTGTTTGGTCAAAAATGTTGAAAGGAAGCAGGCATGATTAGATAAAGATAAAGGGAAGAACGCGTTTATTAGCCGGGAATTCTGCAAAGACTTTCCGTTTGACCAACTAATATCCATTCATATTCTAAGTCACATGTACAACTAGCGCCGCTGAATCATTAATTAATCCCCAACTAAAAAAAAAAAAAAAAATCCAAATCTCTTTAAATATAATTAAATAAATTTGTTCAAATCTTTTTATAATATCCGTATCTATTTAAAAAATCATAAAATTAACGAGTAAAAACAGTAATCATACTTGTACTTAATCTCGAGTCATACTGGTGTATTGTAATCTTAATGTGTACCAGAGAGTAATCTCTAGTCATACTATGCATTGCGTAATCATAATATAAAGTAGACCAAAATCCGGTTACACATGCACGTAAAGTTGCGTTCAAAGGGTTATGCACCCCGACACATGGTCCAAAACCTATGTGTCAAATACACTACAAAACACACATTCAAATGGTGCATTGAGAAGTTATCGTAGTGTGGAAACACATTAATGTAATGTATCTAGAAATCTTCGTGGATCAAAGATCTAGAATATCAATCCATTCTAAAATCAAACATTTTCATAATTCTCGAGGTTCTTAAAATGTATTTGCTAGGGAGAAGTTTCCACATTTGTATAAAAAAATGTTTCATTCTCCGACCCCGACCCCAAGGTGGAATCTCACAATTCACCCTCTTTAGGGTTCAACATTCTTGCTGACACTTGTTCCTCTATCCAATTATCGTGGAATTTCACAATCCACCCTCCTTTAAGGCCCAATTAGTTGGCACTCGTTTCTCTCTCCAATTGACGTGGGATCTCACTGTAAACTTTCATCTCCTCCTCTTCTTCTTCATCGAAAATTGCAGCTGCATTTTTTTTACCCTTAATCAACAATTCAATCTAAAGTTAAATGACCATTGTGCCCTTACAATCCACCGCCGTCCGATCTCCCTGCAGAAGATCTTTAGCAATTTGCAGTCAATTGGATTACGTAAAGATCCAATGGCTCCTTCTCTCCTCTCTCTAAAACCCAAAAACATGTTTTTTTTTTATTATTAAAAAAAAACCCATCGTATTATATCGAGTATGAGTGAGTGAGTGAGAGAGACAAGAGACAAGAGACCAGAGACAAGAGACAGAGACCGTTTTGGTTTAGCTGTAACGATTCTCAGTACTTAACACGGCGGCGTTTGCAATCCACCTTCCAAATTCCTCCGGTACCCTCCCTCTCTCTCTCTCTCTCTCTAAACCCTAAAAACCCTAAAAGCCTTCGTGAATGACCTAAATAATATTGGGTTGTAGAAATCATGACGGGGTTGTTCTATTTAAGTGAAAAACAAGAGGAAAATCAAGAACAAAGAGGAAAAGAACAGCAATTGTTCTTGTCCAAGGGCTTGGAGATATGGCCACAGCAAAATCTAGAGAATTACATTTCATTTGGAGTGGGTCCGAGTCGGAGGAACTTCATGATCAACGCTTCCGATGGTCACGATCAGTTTGTCCCGAGATTAGGGTTTTCGATCAATTGTCAAGATTGTGGGAATCAAGCTAAAAAAGATTGTTCCCATTTGAGATGTAGAACTTGTTGTAAGAGCCGAGGGTTTCATTGCCAAACCCATGTCAAAAGTACTTGGGTTCCGGCTACCAAGCGCCGGGAACGGCAGCTACAACGTCACCAAATTGTTCGGCAACAATCCCGACTAGATCGGCCCGATCAGACCACTTCCAAGAGACATGGAGAAAATCAATCACTTTGTGTAGCTCCGATCGACACTTCAGGTGATTAATTTTCGATGAAATTTCATAAGCTTAAGTTGAAAAATTACGATGTTAATGGATGATTCAAACCCTAGGGTGAGATGGGTGTAGTGTTTCATTAGAATTACAATTATTTTTGTTCTTCTAATCGATGTGATTTGGAATTAGGGTTAGAAGTTGTGAATTTTCCAGCTGAATTCAACTCCTCAGCCGTTTTTCGATGTGTGAAAGTCAGTGCCATCGACGATGTCGAAGAACAATTAGCATATCAAACATCAGTGAACATTGGTGGGCGTATGTTCAAAGGGATTCTTTACGACCAAGGTCCCAAAAGCACTCTGAATTTAAGCACGGGCGGCGAGAGCTCGTATTGCTATGGCGGAGAAGACGACAGTCAAGCGCTCGAGCTGGTGATCGGAGCGTCGAACGGCGGGTGGAGGAGTAACAAACCAACCCCATTTATGGAGTCTTCTCTATATCCCATCCCAATCAACACATTCACCACGGGTACGCAAAATTTCCCTTCCTCTAGAACTTAAAAGAAAAAAGGGTTGAAGTTGATTGTGTTGAATTCATGAACTAGAAGAAAAAAAAGCTCATTGATCTTATGATGTGTGAAATGAAGACATTGGAATGGAACAAAAAAACACAAGCTGTTTTTATTTTAATTTAGTTTATGTAATGAGTATGATTATGATAATTGTATTGCATTTCAACCTTATATCTATTTGCATTCTCATATCAAAACTCAACTCACGAACATTCCAAGATCTCACTGTTTTCGTGCTTCTCCGATATTTATGTTGTGTCTTTAATTATCTAATAGAAGACTGGACGTTCGTACTCCATAGGTTGTATTGAGTCCGACATCATTTTTTTTAGTCCTAAAAGAATTCGACCCATTCGAATTATCAACCTAAATAATAAAAAGTTGGATCGGGGTAGTTTTTTTTTTTTTTTTTTTTTTTTTTTTTTTTTTTTTTTTTTTTTTTTTTTTTTTTTT